CTTTTTCTGGACCTGGGAACAGCAGTAGGAAGTGTTCAGGCCTTTTCCCAAATATAATATCTGACCATTTGAAGGCTGAGAATCCTTCCTGCCTACGGCCTCCTGGGACTCTGAGTGGCCTGCCTGCCGGTCAGGGGCACAGAGCATCCCCACACTGGGGATGTGGGAAAGATGGTCTCTGCCCTCGAGGACTTAAGGTCTGGGGGGGGAGACAGAACAGACCCATGTGAAAGAGTCAGGCACACAAATATAACAAAGCTAAGCCAGATGCAAATCCACACAGCTGTGAGAATCCAAGTGCAGACGTGACGCTGCACTCAAGGTCCGACATTCAGTGAAAGAGAAGCAGGAGGAAGTTGCATGTGGGGTGTCGGTGAGCCATCAGAAAGGCCTTCCCAGGGGAGGTCACATGCGTTCATTCATAGACTCTCCTTAAGCCCTTACAGTGGGCTCTGCTGCTGGTGAGCACGGCAGCCCCAAAGTCAGCCTTTAAGGGAACACGGTGCTGACTGCCCAGGGAGTCTGGGGCATCACATAATGCACAGCACATGGACCCAGCCCAGGTGGGACATCAGGACAGGACTCCTCAAGACAGCAAGGCTTTCATCAGATTCCTGAAGGAAGCCCTGCCCCTGACTTTAGGAAAGTCAGCACGAAGTACAAAGGAAGGCCCGCCTGTGGCCTTCCCACCTCCTCTTTCCATCCTGGCTCGTATGCCTGTGTGTCGTGTGGACACCTCAGGCCTCAAGTGTAAACTCCATCAATACACCACCCTCCCCACTTGACCAGCCTTCAGGCCTAGAGTTATGATCTGCCCTCAGGAGGACTGATCTAGAAAACAGGCCCTTGCCGGCCTGGAAGTGAGCTGTTTGGACAGGGGATTGGGAATCCTGGGTCTACAGGGGTGAGCGATCTGGAGGTGGGTGCACAGCCAGTGGGCAGACAGGTTCCCTCCTCCCCACAGGCTTCTCACTCTGTGGGGGAGCACAGCTGGATGAGGGCCAACATGGGCCTCTGTAGCTCAGGGCATGGGCAGGGGGTCGGACTGCATGTCTAAGCACAGTTCTGCCCAAAGGATGAGTCAACATTAGCTAAATCAAAGGTGGAGGGATGGGGCAGAGCGGGGGCTTCCCACAGAAGGAACAACCAGTGCAAGATCCCTACGGTGGGAAAAGCCTGGTTCACCTCCCTAAAGCAGGAGTGTGGAGAGAGCCTAGGTGAGACTGGAGAACAGACAGGGGCCTCAAGGGCCAAGATAAGGATTTGGCTTTACAAAGGACACAGGCAAGTCATGGTGGGCCAGGGAAAGGTCATTTTGAATGGAGCGAGAACATTCCTCCCAAACGAAGCTTGTGTGATACCAGTAAGGCATTTGATGTGGGAAGCGCGGGCAAGCTCTTCACTTTGGCTGGGCCTCAGAGTACTGAGAAAGGCCTGAGAAGGAAAGAAAAAAAACAATTGTGGAGGACTTGTAGGCATGTAGGAAGGGGTCAGGGTCATCAGGGTAAGCACAGAGCCTCTGGGAGGAACGCTTAAAGAATTAGGCTGGGAGCCAGATTCTCTCTTTATGCTGTGCTGACCATTGAAATAAGGCAAAATAATATGCCACATTTAACACCTTTCTGCTCTAGGACTGCTCCCTATGTTTGAGTCATAGTACTGTACATGTATGCGATTTTTGTGTTTTTCTGTGTGATTTCAGTGTCCTGAAATTCTTTCTGGATTGGCAACACATCCCCTTGTCCACTTAGTAAATATGACCATGTTTATGCTTTGGGCTACGTTTTACAGTCATCACTGAATGCTGGTTTCCTTTTTGTGTCATTTATTTTTTATAATTGTGCTGACACTCTCGTTACTTAATGCCTATGGAATTATGAATACATTAGGCCACAATAAGAATTGTCCCTGAAATCTGTAAGCAGATGTTGGTGTGTGTGTGTGTGTGTGTGTGTGTGTGTTTGTGTGTTTGTAATAACAGTGCTTACATAATCTCAATAACCAAGCCCTGGGGACTCACACTCAGAGACAGAACAGTTGGCTTAAATTAGGTTTCCATGTGAAATATGGTATCACTATTTTTTTCCTAGCCTTGTGGGAAAGTATATGGAAAATGATTTGACTGATAGGAAATAAATCTGGATGTGTGATCAGGACTGAGGCACAAACCACTTGGTGGTCTGTGTCTGCTCTGTGAAGCAGGTCTCTCCAAGGGAAGATATGTTAACCCTTTCAGGTCACTGCACTAATAAGTCACTGTGTGGTACCAGAATAGCCTGAAAGTACAGAGACTTTGCAAAGACACTGATTTGCCATCAATTTCAACAGGAAAGGAGCTAAAGCCATAGAAAAAATATAGCCAGAGGCCTCAAGAACTAATGCATCGGGTGTCTTTGAAGAACCATTTTAACTTTTCAGGGTTTCATTTTTATTTTAAGGAGATGGATTTGGATTTCTAGCTCAGAGTCAATGATGTTATGATTCTGAGTGTTTTCTGATGATTTCTTAGAGCAGGATAGGGCTTATCAAAACTAATCACACCAAAGTAAGAATTGGTTAGAAGCATTAATGACACTCAGTCTTTACTGGCAAAATAATGTCTCGGTCTAGAGAGCCAGAGTTTCACCAGCCTGGTGACTTTTAGCTGGGTAACCAGGTGAAGGGAAAGGGCTTGGAGACAGTGAGCCAGGGATTGCTCACAGCTGCAGGAGAGGGGCTGGTTTTGGGAATCCCAAAGGGCTCCTGTGTGCTCAAAGCAGTCCCAGGAGATCAAACGAATGGTTATCTTCTTCCAAGAGGCTCTTAATTTCTTGCAGGATGATCTGGACTACGGCTTGTCCTAGGGGTCTGATTCCAGATCTGTCCTCCTGATGTTTCACAAGAGTTCAGCCAAGTCCAGAGCAGGTAGAGATCGGTGGTGCCTGCTTAGAGCCCACTGGGCTCATGCTGGGCTCAGGGGTGGCAGGTGGCCCATCACATTTTGCTTCAGCAAATTTCAGAAGGGAAGAGACCGATTGTTACTGCAGCGCTCCTGGCTGCTACCAGATTATAACCCAGTTTTAGCACTGAAACTCTCTGTTGCTATTTCCCTATTTGTTTTTGTGTAGGGAGAGGAAAGACATGTTCATAATCAATCTCTTCTGTTCTGCTTTTTTCATTTTTTTAATCATTTTTTGGTACTCTTCTCGGTACCTTCTCCTTTGATTCCATCTCTGTCTTCAAATGTGCATCTCTTATCGAGTGCTTAGAAGGACCTACCAGTGCCAAGTTTACAAAAACTAGCTCCCTTTATCAGCTGGAAGAGCACCAGCCTGGGAGTCCTAGCTTTGACATCAAGAATCGTGACCTTGGCAAATCATTTCTCCCTTGAGGCTTGGATTCTTGATCTGGAAGAATGGGGTTGGACTGCCCTCTGTGGTTGCTGCCAGCACTAAATGCCATTCATTCCTCTCATTTTATTTGGAGGGAGGGAGTCAGGGAAGTGGTTGCCTTAGACCTTGAACTCTTTTTTTTTTTTTTTTTTTTTTTTTTTTTTTTTTGGGGGCC